AAATTTAGTTTACGTGACACTGTAAGGATCATTTGGCAAATTTCTTGGTTAACTAGTTGCGCAAGACCTCCAAAGTTCCTCTGTCAATTATTTAAGGCATCAGCATGGGCCAGAGTAAAACCAGCACCGATCAATTAGTTCCTTTGGTATAGCTTTAGAGAGTGAATCTGTCAACCCAGGAGAAAGGATCAAACATCAAATAATTAATGGAGTGCCAAAAGTCAGCCTCCTCAACTTTGACACTCTTAACATATTGCCTTACAAATATCAAAACAAATTTCTAAAGTAAAAACATCAAATAATAATGTTTAACCTTTCATCTTCTGTTGGCCACATAATCTACTAAATGGGACCAATGCAGACCAAGATCATCCGGCACATCCCTGCACTATTTGCTATTCAGTCAGTTCAAATTTTGAAAATTTTCAATAAAAATGATAACTTGTTCTGACTGCCCAGATTGCAAGATTGGCAAGTCAATTCATGGTACTTAGCATTGTAAGAGTTAATTTAACTTGAGATATCAATTTTACTTAAGATAAAAAACCTATTATTTGCTGAGATTCATTGAACTTCTTATGAACACTGAAAAAGTCTGAATACATGACTATATTTTAAAAGCCATTATTACTTGCATTCCTGAGAGACACTTTATAGAGCATACAAATTTATTTTTACAATTAAAGATGAATCAAGTCTTACTGTCCCATCAAAGTACATTCCATATGGAACTAGGTCTTTTGGCACAATGCCAATGGCCGTGAGTCGCCTGGCTCCATGCTCCGAACCAGTAAGTAAAGGGTTTGCAATAAGGCGTGTGTTCTGCTGCTCTATGTTGTACTCTTTTATCGCGTCACCGATCACTTTTGGTATACCAGCGTTTATACCGTTAGTAATAATCCACATGTCTGTTGTGTTTGCAGCCTGCAGAAAAAAATTCAACAATAATTTTCACAATTATCAACGTACTATACCGGTCTATACCGGTGACCTTGAATTTTGACCCTTTGACCTCTGACAGTGGTGGTTAAGAAGTATGCATCAGTAAATTTATTTATACATTTAAATAAAATTATTATATCTTGATAAAGATTTTCCTTTCAGGAAATTCTATACAAAAATAGCAACAGCACCCAGTATATACTACTTTATGCTATATAAGAAATATATCAATCATGACCCAAGTTTAAACCACATTCCCTGGATGAAATAATCAATGTTTATCACGTGAAACAATCAAACCAAAAAATATCTAATGAAAATACTCATTCACCTAAGGCCTAAAAAACCAATAGCACACACAATCTTTTGTTATGATAAGCTCATCACAGGCATTTAGTTGACATAAACCTATTTATATCTGATCATAGATCTCGTCATCTGTAACAGTTTCTCCTCATTTACAATTACAAAATCTCCGCTAAAAAATCAACTTCTTCATTGATAGAGGACAATTTACGGGCACATCCTTCTTAAGTATGTAAATATATAATATAACCATCACCAAGAGTGCCCTCAATTTATGATAAAACATTAAAGCAACCTTCAATTTTTGCTAGATGTTAAATGTTATTTTCAGATTAATCGTTTCATACAATTGTCAAGTCAAAAGAATTAAGATGGGAATGAAAATTGCTGCAGATAATATACATGAACAGTTAGGAAACCCCTTGGTACCTCTAATCTACCGTCACTCTCTATACGTAATATAGTAAATCAACGGTTTGTTTCCCAATCTTCTATTTTTAGAAATGAACGCCACTGGCACTATAAATTGCCTTATTTATTTAGGGTTAAATTTTTTAATTTTGTTTGGGGGGGGGAACCCTTTTCCCAAAAAACCTTTTTTTTTGAAAAACCCCAGTGTTGGACCCCTTTTCAAAAAAAATCAATAGGAGTATCTAATGGTCATGGCCAACCTCCACGCCAAATATGAAGACTGTGGGTCAAAGGAATCTTCATTTATTAGGCGGACATGAAAAAAACAGACAGATGGCTGGACAGGGAGTCAGACTGAGGGCCTGACGGACAAGGCAATAACTCCAGAATTAGGCAAGGCAGAGTTATGATTCTTGTGCACTGCACATCTACCCATCTACCTACAAAGTTTCATGTTGATATTTCTTATAAGTTTTACAGCTATGTCCTGGACAAGATTTTTCTAAAAGGGGAGATTATTAAAAAATGAGGCTTAACAGAGTTATGGTTCTTTTGCACTGCACCTCTACTCAATGAGATCTATCTACCTACAATATTTCATCTTGATATCTCTTATAGTTTTAGAGTTATGTTCCGGACAAAGTTCAAAGTGTAAAAATTAACAAAAGGCAATAACTCCAAAATTAGGACAAAAAGAGTTATTGTTCTTATGCACTGCACATCTACCCATTGAGATCTATTCACCTACAAAGTTTCATGTTGATATCTCTTATAGTTTTAGAGTTATGCCCCGGACAAGATTTTTCTATAAGGGGAGATAATTCAAAAATGAGGCTTAACAGAGTTATGGTTCTTTTGCACTGCACCTCTACTCAATGAGATCTATCTACCTACAATGTTTCATCTTGATAATTCCTATAGTTTTAGAGTTATGTTCCGGACAAAGTTCAAAGTGTTAAAATTAACAAAGGGCAATAACTCCAAAATTAGGACAAAAAGAGTTATTGTTCTTATGCACTGCACATCTATCCATTGAGATCTATTCACCTACAAAGTTTCATGTTGATATCTCTTATAGTTTTAGAGTTATGCCCCAGACAAGATTTTTCTATAAGGGGAGATAATTCAAAAACCGGGCAAAATAGAGTTATGGTTCTTTTGACACTGCACTCCCCCTCAATGCCCTCTACCAGTGTATGAAGTTTCAACAAATTATCTCCATGGGTTTTCAAGTTATGCTCCGGACAAGACAACGGACGGACAGACGGACGGACAGACGGACAAGGCGCCAACTATATGCTCCCCCGAAATTTTTCGGGGAGCATAATAAAAGCTGAATGCCGCTTTAATGTAAAGAGAACCTTTAATATTCCTTTCTGGAAGTCGTCCTTCAGTCGCTGACTTTTCCATGGTTTATAACCTTCCTCTGACGATATCACAGACAGGACAATGTTGGGATTCTTTTTTCCCCAGTATCTTGACATAAACTCGGTCACTGCCGGCATCTCCGTGTCGTAACCTACACATAGGTAATGCTTCTTGGGCTATAATGTAATAAGTATGATACAAAATTAACTGTCAATTATAAAACTCTTTAAAGTTTTGTTACACTTTATACTTGTCTTTACAATATTATCTTCTTAATACGTTACAATAGTACTCTCATTAGTACTTTTAAAATATTTGTGAATTTCATTAAAACAAGGGCCATCAGTGATCACATGTGTCGCCTCATGAAAGCCATAACTCAGCAAAAAATCATTCAAACTAAAAACCTGTGTAATATGCACAAGAATTTGAGCCATGAATCAATCCTGTAAAGTTTCATTGAAATTGCATTAGTGGTATAACAGTTGTGTAGAGGCGAGGAAAAAAATCTCTATAATTGATAATGGACAGTTCTAAAAATAGAAGCTGGGCAAGTCCATTTCAGAAATTCAGCAGGTAAAAATGTAAAAGCTAATTATCTCATGACCTTGACACACCAGAATAATAATGTTAGTAATAATTATCATCATCAAACAACCAGACTATATGGCACCACTTTACATTTCTAGCATTGCATATATTTAATTAGAGAGTGTTATACATAAATCATGTTAGATTTTCATCATGTCAAAATACTAACTTCAAATAATCATAACTATAATAATAACCTGATCATAGCCAGTTTTATACAATAGACTTTTCCTGCTGTGAATTTTGGAACAGTCCATAAGCAATTAATGGGATTTCAATATCAAGATATTAAAATTGAGCTACTATCAGTTAACCCTTTCCCTCATGAACATATTGTGAAACAAGAGCCACCGCCGGGCGGGGGCAACGCTCGACTTTTTACTTTTTCTAAACGCAAACATAGAAAGGTTTGAACATATATTGATGTTTCCTTTTTATAAATTTAGTTGGTCTGTCTTGTCACATTAGTTTTGTTTATATATTTTGTATATATATGAATAGAAACATTAAGCATATTTCTAAAAATAGCAACAGTACGCAATTTCTAAAAATAGCAACAATGACGCAATTTCTAAAAATAGCAACAATGACGCAATTTCTAAAAATAGAAAAAATGACGCAATTTCTAAAAATAGAACAAAAATGACGCAATTTCTAAAAATAGAAAAACATGACGCAATTTCTAAAAATAGAAAAAAAATGAAGCAATTTCTAAAAATAGAAAAAAATGACGCAATTTCTAAAAATAGAAAAACATGACGCAATTTCTAAAAATAGAAAAAAATGACGCAATTTCTAAAAATAGCAACAATGACGCAATTTCTAAAAATAGAAAAAATGACGCAATTTCTAAAAATAGAAAAACATGACGCAATTATATACATGTATATATATGTATATATATATATATATATATATATATATATATATATATATATATATATATATATATATATATATATATGCATATATGTATATATATACACACACACATTTATATATATATATATATACTATATACACACACACCGATAAATGCACAATCTGAGAAAATAGTAATATAACCTTGTCAGGTCATTAAAGAGCCCAAGCAAATTTGGGTTTGATAAACAACAAGGTCTGGTCCTTAAGAATGTTCTGTTATAATATGAAGTTTATCCCTTCAAAAATAGCAAAGTTACAGTCAGTTACTGCCAAAACAATGAAAATTTCAATAATCAAAGGCAATGTCATTAATGAGTGAAGGTCAAGGTCTTTCGGTATATTTTTAACAGTTATCTTTGAAGATTATTATGTTCAAGTTTGAAGACAATCCATTCAAAAATAACAAAGTTACAGCCAATAATATGAAAATTTCAATAATTTGACCTTCAAAGTCAAGGTCATTGATGAGTGAATGTCAAGGTCTACTGGTTATTTTTAAGGGATATCCTTGAAGATTATATGTTCAAGTTTGAAGGACAATCCATTCAAAAATAACAAAGTAACAGCCAATAACAGCATGAACAAGCAAAAATTGGACTTTTAACCTTGAAGGTCAAGGTCATTTATGGATGAAGGTCAAGGTTAGTGTGGTCTACTGAAAGGTCTTGTCCCAAGGGTTGTTGTGGCCAAGTATGAAGACAATACACCAAGAAATAAAAAAGTTATGATCCAGGTACAAGTTTTCGGACGGCAACGGCAACGGCAACGGAGACGGCAACGCCGACCTGACTATAACAATACCTCTACTTTTTTTTTCAAAAAAAAAAAGTCGAGCTAAAAATGGCCGTTTTCATTGAAAAGCCTCCTGTTACAAGTTCAAACTGCTATGAAACTATGAAAAATGCTTCAATACTAATCAAACTTGGCACAAATGTTGGCTGGACCATTGCCTTTGTAACAACATGCTCAGTCTTAAAATTCCTGTAAACATGGCAACAAGGGGGCATCTCAAAATTGCCAAAAATCACTATTTTGCCTTGATTTTTTCCATCAAAATTTATTTCAAAGTGCTGCAACTTCTCAGTCAAAAGCTTTTCAGCGTTGGTTACACGTTACCTTATGATCAACCTGTGGTCATTTTTAGCCTCTCACAAGTCCAAAAAAATTTTGGCAATAAGGGGGACTACCTACCCCTTCAAACCCCCCAAACAGAAGGGGGCACATCCCCTTTCTGGCAACCCCCTGACGTATCTTTTGAATGGAGGGCGGCACAGAAAAAAGTGCTTACTTTCTTTAGCAACATTTCTCAAAAGAAAGCATGTGTTTGGGACCCAAATATGACATTTTTTTCACTATTTCAGGCCTAAAAGAGGGGGGGGGGGTAGAAATTGCATTGTTTCGCGTATATATGAGGAAATGTTAAGAACCTTGAATCGAGAGACAGCATCATGGCTGTTGCAGGCTGCCCCGACTTTTTCAAGGTGTAATATACTTTTAACCTTTCCCTTGCTGTAAATAATTGAATATTATACCAGTGCTGCCAACCAAGACCAGGATCAGCCAGCACATCCGAGCCATGTGATTATGGTCGGCACTTAGTTTGTCATTCAGTCAGAACATATTTTAACCCTGAACATGCTTAATATTTTAAAAGGATTTGTCCCACTTCAATTTTTGGGACTGTCCATTATTAATTTTAGGGATATTAATTTGAATATTTAAGTTTGTCAGCCAACATTATAGAGCCTGGTCAGACTGTACCAATGTGCAGGCTGGCCTGGCTCTACACTGGTGGCAAAGGCTATTGGTTCCAGCAATTTAAGGGTTAAAAACATTTTCTCTGGTTTTGTTGAAAAGGGCGGCGCATGTCCATTTCAGATATTTCGCATGGTTAGCATCAATACTGATTCACATTATTCATCGTTCATAATGCTTGAGCATTTTCAATTTTTTAGTTGCACATTTTCAGAAAACATTTCCATTCCTTTTTTTCAATTCTTTCCTAAACTGAATTCAAACCAACAAATCTTTAATGAAGGCAAAAGTTTAACGTACCTCATATATTAGGTCAACAGTATCTTTGACAAATCGGATGTTACCACACTGTAACGGGGCATGCTCAAATATAGCACTGTCCTGAGTATTGACAGAAAAGTTGGACTGAATGGTTCGCTGGTTTTCATCTACAGTGAGATAGTCAATGGCACAACCAGGAACACCACCTTCATCAACCGAGCCAATAGAATCCTTTCTTTCCAATTCTGATAACATACAAATTGTTAATTTACATATATATTGTCCTGCATTTCTGTGGTGGATATGTTGTTTAGGCTTGATTTTAGATAGATTGGAGAGGGCACAATACTTAACCTTTCCTGCCACCCAAGCAAGGGAGTCTCAGGTTCGAACTCTTTTGGGTGTTAAAATCATTGCCTCTCCACATGGCAATTAAACATGCTGATATTGTTACGGTAGTCCAAGAAACAGATCGGAGTGTGGTTTAAATAAATATGCAGCTTTTGTCTGAATAGATGTATATAAATTTTAATCAGGTTAAAAACCAATTTCAACTATGGTACATTGAAAACATTTTATCACAACTAAAGTATAAGAAAATAGATCTGAACACTTAAGAATCTTAGTGAATAAAGTCAATATATTCTATGATGTGAAAGCTTGACAAGTTTTTATTTTGAAACTTAGATTATATATCCTCTATTACCTCCCAGGAATAGACTCAATAAGAGTCTGCAATTTTCACTTTCTGACTGTTTTTATTGCTCTCGAGTGATCTTTAATTTCCAAGATATTTAAACTAGATCTCAACGGCAGGCTAGAATTCAAATTAAACACATGCAAATAGTTCATCCATAAGCGTAACAGCTGATTTCTGAAAACTTAAATAAATACCATATATTTTTAAGTTCTTAAAATTTATTGTAAGGAATTAGTAACAAGTAAAATGAATCTTAATGAACCAAAGTGAAACTTACGACCAAGTTCAATGGAATCCTGCAACAAGAGTTTCTTCTGCTCAGCATTTTGTGCTTTTTCATCAATATGTGATAAAGACGTGTCAGACATTTTGAACTGCATTTCTGTTTCAATTAATGACTGACTAGCACTACTTTCACTCTTAGGTGGTGTTCCAGTGTCATTCTTAGGCTTGAATGATACTGACGGTATATTCTGAGCCGGACTGACCGTAAATCGTCCCGAAATTGACTTTTTGTGGTTGGCTGTTGGTGTTGGAATCGACTGCGCGATCGGCGATATAAGAGTATGCGTTGGTAGATGGAAACTGTCATCTCCTTTCTCTAGTAATATTTTTTCAATTGACTCCTCGTGATGAATGGAATAGTTCATGGACGAACACTGTGATGTTTTGTCTATGCCGCTCACCTGGCGGGACACTTTCCTGCCACGAGAGGCATAGCTCTGTGGAGATTCTGGGGCAGCAGACATTCCTATAGAGGTACTTGGTGTGACTGGTCGAGATGTCGCTGTTGATCCAGCTAGACTTCTTAATGATGCACCTGATTCATCTTCAACTGAAAAAGAGAAAATCACATCATTTATTGCACAAGTGCTTCACTTTCACTTCATATGGTCCATCAAATTCGGAATTTTATACAGTACACATGAAGTAAGGTAAAAGCTGGGAAAGAGAAGTGACAAAAAAACAACAATTTGTTATTTTCAGCCACATAAAGGAAATTAGCCACATGGAATGAATGACATCAAAGAGAAAGTACAGTGTCACATAAGACTAGAATCCAAAAATGAAAGCTTGGACGATGAAAAAGTGATCTCTATACATGTATGTTGGTAGGTGCCACAAGAAGTACCAAAGTGAATTAACAAGAGCTGTCCGTAAGACAGCGCGCTCGACTTTTTTATTGCTTGCCAATAAAAAAAGTTTTTGCAGTAAAAGGCAATACAAGAATCTCTGTATTTTTAAAGTGAACAATGGCCATGAGCATTAAGATATTTAGTGAAGAATTATTTTATTATGACATAATTTATGGTAAAGTGAACAAGTGGATAGGAATGAATTTTTTTAGATTTTTTAAGTTTTTTAGTGCTTGCCTATAATACAAAACATTGACAGTTAAGGGCCATAATTCAAATAAAATCTTTGACAGAATTACCTTCTCCTGGACATGTTTGGGAATCATGATTGTAAACAAGTATTCCAACTTTCAAATTAATATCTCAAACAGTTCAGTCAAAAAGTGGACTGGTACTAAAAACTTAACCAAGATTCTAAGTCGATAAAAGGCCTTAATTTTTTAAAACAAATCCTTGACAGAGTTACCTTCTCTTGCGTACAGATGGGGGTAATGATGTGAAATAGCATTAAAAGTTTCAAAGCAATATCTCAAAGGGTTAAGGCAATAAGTGGATTTTACCCATATTCAATGTATTTTCTAAGTCAAAAAGGGGCATAATTCTGTCAAAAACCTTGACAGAGTTATGTCCTCTTGTCTGTTGATGAAGGTCGTGATGGTAAACAAGTATGGTCAGTTTTTCAAAGCAATACCTCCAATGGTTTTGAAATAAAGTGAGGTGGTACAAAAAACTTAACCAAGCTCAATACACTTTCTAAGTCAAAAAAGGGCCATAATTCTGTCAAAAACCTTGACAGAGTTATGTACTCTTGTCTGTAGATGGAGGTTATGATGGTGAACAAGTATGGTAAGTTTCAAAGCCATACTTGTAATACTTCTGAAATAAAGTGGGGTGGTACGAAAAACTTAACCAAGGTGTGACGCCAACGCCGACGCTAACGCCGACGCTAACGCCGACGCCGACGCCGGGGCGAGTAGGATAGCTCCCCTTTTCATAGAAAAGTCGAGCTAAAAAAGGTGTTGTCATTAGTATTGTTTATTTCAATTAAATTGAATTTCAAAGAAAATTTTATTTCTCTTTCCATCTAAATCACTTAAGTTCTTCTCAATATCAGGAATATCTTAACACAAACAGTTAGTAAGTATCTTCTTTTCAACAATATATCACAATGTCCAACATCAACACACATAACATAAAACAACTTATCAACAAGAAAAGCATTGATGCAAAGCATCAAAGGGCGACGCCAAAAGAATTTGATCCAGATTTGCACCTAAATACTTAACAAAAGATGTGTACTTTATAGCAGTACCATTACATGTGACCTGGAGGCTAGGGCCAGGTTAAGTTGAAACTTAAACCAAAAAAGAATAGACTCTGTCTTGCCAAGATGCAAAGGCAATTTATAGTCAATTAAGCAATTAACCTGTGACCAACATAAGAAGAAATTTTATGAAGGCTGATTTGTATTTTGCATCAAGGGCACCGGGCAAAAACATGAAAATGCAACAAACAAACCACTTTGTGGTAGATTGTATTTTCATGTTTTCATCTGGCGCCCAGTTACTTTTTGTACTATGTTGGTTTTCATGTGGCACAAATCACCCACTATAAATTTAGTGCACAAATTTATTCAAGGGCAAGTAACAATCTACTCTATGTACAGTCTGTTGTCGCGTTGACTCAGGAGACCTGGAGGTTGAGACCGGTGTCTCTTCATTACAAATAGATAAGACAGAAGCTGTCCTTTTCAAACTATGCACATGTTAGAAAAAAATAGAATAACTATTCAGAATATGATTTTTTGAGACTTTATTAATTATATTGCTTGATCCAAGTTTAAGGACATTTTCAATCAATACATGTTTTATCATTTATAACTTTAAATGAAAGTCTCATCCCTTTAATAATAATGATATAACTGTATCTCTTTAAATGCAGAAAAATTATAAGTCTCAACATATCAATATACTACTGTCTAAGATGTACATGCACATAACATTAATAATTCCCAGTTTATATTAAATAAATATGAAATCCTAAAATTAACATTAACATCCTTTTGATGACCTTACAACTGGTGAATTTTATACAACAAAAATAGTATTATAAGTAATACCTAAGATAGACAGAAAAGAACAAATAATTTAGTAAACATAAGTTACTTCCCCTTAAAATAAAGAAAACCTGAAACCCAAAAGAACACGATAAACAGCAAAATTATGAAATGTTGCAGGTTCAATTTTATCAAGCCATGCAAATTAATGGTAAAGTATTCATATGTGGTAGAATTTTGCCTTTGACTCTCTTTCGGAATTGCGATCTTTCTTTTTACTTATTTTAAAAACTAGATAATTACATAATCTCAGTATTTACATATACATGTATACTGTTTGTCAGGATGACACCACCGGTCGACACTTATTTAAGACAAAATATATCAGTTAACTTGACCGGAAAGTTAACATTTCAGGTTCGATAATTTTACTCTCTAATTAATTAGGA